TCTGAATGCTGCACTGGCTTCCACCATGCTGACCCGAGAACAAAGAGAAGCAGATGGAGGTGGAAGGGCGTGGTTTAATTCCCCGCCACAACGACTCGGCGGCGCGGGAAATTCAAAATCTCGCATGAGTTAAAATAATGGGGTTTCTGCAATGAGTGTAAACTGCCACATGATGGCAGCAAAAATTGCAAAAAGCTCGTTTGCTTAAAAAAAAACAACCAGAAAGAACCCAACCACCACCAATAATGAAAAGGGCTAAAGATGATGTTAATGTAAGAAAACTACTAGCCCTGATCAGAGGCAGTAATGTCAGTTGCTGGAAACTGCAGGGAGAGGGGAGTTCTGTTGTGCTCAGGTCTTGCTGAAATAGGAAACCCATTGGTCTGATCTTGCGAGGAATCCTATTCGGAATAAGGGAATTTCCCTATAAAAAAGGGAAACGTCGACAGCTATGATCTTATGTTCTTAAAACTGGAACACAGACTGCTTGGTGTGTGTTTTGATTAACTAACTAGCACCAATATATTCTTGCTGGGCTGTGTGTTGGTGATCCCAATTTCATGAAACACCCCTTTTTTAAAAAAACAAACTAGATATTGTGTGTTCTTTTGAAAGCTGTAGTTCGTTGAATGTCTTATGTCATGGTACCTTTGTTATAAAGGTTCTTAACATTTCGGGTATGTATTTGTGTTGTGTGTCCACTGTCCACTGTAGAGCCATGCTGACCCAGAAGAGCTGATCCTGAGAGTTGGAGAATATTCCAGAGTAATTTGGGATATGGCAAAGAGGGACCGCAGAGGGGTGGAGGAAGTCAACAAAAATTAGGTGCCCTGCCATGCTTGACCAAGAAGTGTTTCCACTTGCCCAGGTGGATATAATTCATCAGCTACATATTAATTTCTCTTTCCTTACAAGAGCCTAATGAGATAAACAAGCTCCAGTGCACAGCCAAGAAAATGGTTTTTTGGTTGTTGTTTTTTTAAAGATAGCCTTGCATTATCTTAAAGACTTTAAACATGACCTATTGCTCTCCTACTCTCCTATCCCTAGAATGACATGGTGGGGAAGCCCTGCTATCCTCTCTTTCTGGAGGTATCACTTGCTAGTTGTTTCTATGGCAACATAGTTGTACAGTGGTACCTTGGTTCTCAAACTTAATCCGTTCCAGAAGTCCGTTCCAAAACCAAAATTGTTCCAAAACCAAACCGCACTTTCCCATAGAAAGTAATGCAAAACAGCTCAATCCATTCCAGACTTTTAAAAACAACTCCCAAAACAGCAATTTAAGATGAATTTTACTATCTAATGAGACCATTGATCCATAAAATGAAAGCAACAATCAATGTACTGTACTATAAAATGAATGACAGTATTGTAGATGATAATTTTTTTAAAAAAAAATCTTACCTGCATTGAAGATAGTCATTGTTTGGATCTTTTATCTATTTCCACAGTCACACAATCAATCACTAGTTGAAATGGGATCCACACAGTCACAAAGACAAATTAACTGAAAAAGCCTCAAAAACAAAAACTCAAAATAAATAGCAAAAGCAAAAGCGTCAATCCTGATCCATTCTGGAAGTCCGTTTGACTTCCAAAATGTTCGAAAACCAAGGCACAGCTTCTGATTGGTGCAAGCACCTCGGAAACAATAGCTGACAACTGCATCTTCGAAAACCGAAACACTTCTGGGTTTTCAGCATTTGGGAACCAAGCATTTGAGTACCAAGGCGTTTGAGAACCAAGGTACCACTGTACTTGACTAAATCTTTAAATATGTAAAAAAGGGGTGCATAAAAGGCTTTAAAGGACTAGCCTGAATGCCTTCTGCCACAGAATCCCACCCCAAAAATACAAAACTGCCTGCTTGGAGGGGACTCAAAGATACCATTCCAAATTGTTATATGGAATAATTAGGTATCTTGGTATCATTATACCAAAGGAAGGTACTCTGCCAAAGAAATTCAGGGAATCTGCATAAAAAGACCACAGAAGAGCTCTGCTCTTGGAAGCATTTAAATTTAAGTTGGTTAGACCAAATTGCAGCACTGAAGATGTGAATGCTTCCTAAATTTCTATTTTTCTTTCTGAAACTGCCCATACATATCCCTTGTCCTCAACTGGATGGATGGCAACATTTGATTATTAGTATTTTTATTTCAGGAGGTAAAAGGAGCAGGATGAACTGTCTAACCCTGTATCGACCGAGAACTAAGGGAGCTCTTGGTGCCCCAAATCTTAAGCTGCATTATGAGGTCTTGCAATTAAAATTGTTGACACATGTGATTAATAACTCAGCTTTAAACCTATCAGTCAAAACGGAACTTGGAATCCTCACAACCCAATTTTAATGCCCTATCTTTCCTGAAAACATCATGGGCTCACATTAGCAAAATAAGTAACAGCAGAACTTCTGAATGCAGTGTGAATGGCAGTTTGCACTTAGCTCATTTGCCATCACCTTTAACTCCTATTTTGGATTAACAGGCCTTTGCTTTGATGATAAGTATCACCAGTTCCTGGGACGCGGGTGGCGCTGTGGGTAAAAGCCTCAGCGCCTAGGGGTTGCCGATCGAAAGGTCGGCGGTTCGAATCCCCGCGGCGGGGTGCGCTCCCGTTGTTCGGTCCCAGCGCCTGCCAACCTAGCAGTTCGAAAGCACTCCCGGGTGCAAGTAGATAAATAGGGACCGCTTACTAGCGGGAAGGTAAACAGCATTTCTGTGTGCGGCTCTGGCTCGCCAGAGCAGCGATGTCACGCTGGCCACGTGACCCGGAAGTGTCTCCGGACAGCGCTGGCCCCCGGCCTCTTGAGTGAGATGGGCGCACAACCCTAGAGTCTGTCAAGACTGGCCCGTACGGGCAGGGGTACCTTTACCTTTACCTATCACCAGTTCCTATTGTGCAGAAAAAGAGGAATCCATAAAATGAAAAGAGATTTTGCCCAAAGGTTGACCCATTGCAGAAAATTTGCTTAAGGATAAAATAAAACATGTCTCCCTATAACAGACTCCAACTCAAGTATATTCATTTATCCAAGTCCTACTCCATAAAGGAGAAGGGCTCCGTTCCTCGACTTTTAAAAAAAAAACCTTTTGTTCACATGCAGTCTCCAGTTGGTGGCCAAGCTTCAAATATATACAAATTTCTACTCAATATACATAGAATGTGGCTCATCCCATGGACTGAGACTAGTTTGGGAGAGCAACTGAGGTATTTGGATAGAGGATTTGGGAAATGTTGCTGTCCAGAGCCCCATTAAAAACCATATCTGCAAATACAGTATACAAGAAGCCACTCTAAAAAGGCTATTGAGATGGTATTGGACTCCACTCTGTTTGTCTAAAATCAGAAAAGGAGAGGCTGTGGTTCTACTGGAACACTACTTCATATGTGGTGGAATCGCTTCATCTGGCACTCATGGATTCACCCAAAGAATTGTGGGAACTGTGGTTCACCCTCACAGGGCTACAGCTCCAAACACCCTAAACAAACTACAGTTCCCAGATTCTTTGCAGGGAGCCATGTGCATTAAATGTTCTGTGTGTGTGCAGCCTAAAAAACCCCACAAACTGAGCAGCTCAGGATACTTGCATCTGGCATCAGAATGTGTCACGTCCAGACAGAAAGTGTGACCTAACAGTCTTGAGTCATATCAATGAAAAGTCCCTGGGCTGATTTATATGTAGACACTTCTTGCAAAATCAAGCCCTGGTCCACTCATTGGCAGAAATCACAGCAAACAGCAGCTGATATCTAGTGGTCCATTGAAAACTGACCAGTAGTCTGCTGGGGCATCACATCCTTTGCTTTATATGAATTTGAAAGCTGGTACCACAGAGGAGAAATTTGAGATGGAGAAAATGTAGGAGCATTGATCACCAGTGCAGTCCTATATGCGTTTACTCAGCATCAAGTCAGGTCGCGCCCAGTGGGCTACTTAAAATATGATGGCAACTTTATAAATTCATAAAGCGATAAGGGGAGAACTGTAACTGACTCCTTCCAGCCATTTCAGATTGTTCTGCCATTGTTATACTCTGATTTCAAGAGGATTGTTTGTATTCTAGCAACCGAGTTTTGCGAAATCCACACTCCCTTCCTCCTCCAGTCCCTTTGATCAAGATATGCTCTATTTGCATTTAATAAATTGCTATTGCAATTTCCCAATTAGGTACCTGGGTCAGAAATCAGGCTGTCTCATTGCACAAATAAAACTCTGCAGAATGGAGTGAAAAGAAGGCATAGGATACTTTCCAGACGGTGAGCCAGTCATTAGACACTTAAAAACCTCCAGCACCCATTAGTGTGGCAAGGAGAATGCTAGCGCCATAAAATGCCATGGGTGCTTTCAGAACTATATGTTAGAATCAATATATATTGTCAGGCCATGAAAAGGAGTGAGATAATTTAAAATAAATAAAGAAATATTTTTATACGCCCTAAAACTGAGGGCCTTTCTGTGCGAGGCAACTTCTCTCTGGGCCCAAAGTGAATGAATGAATGTGTTACTTGGCCCAACTCGAAGCGCTTTTGCGCAACAACGGCCGCTCCGGAGACGCCCGGTCCCCCACCAGCGGGGCGCAGACCCCCCGAGATTGGCCCGGCGCGTTTCTTGGGCCCCCGATCGCCGCGAGAAGTTTTTAATTTAGCCGAAAAAGGCTCAGATTTCCCGACGCCAGGCGCGCCGAGCGGGACTCGGCCGCGCTTCTGCCTGGTTTCCCCCGGCGCGCCGCCTCCCCGGCCCGCGAGGCGGCCGGGCTGGGAGAGAGAGGCTCCCGCGGGTCCCTTTCGCCCGGGGCCCGGCGCGCTGCGAGGCGGCGAGGCGGCAATTTGGGCCGTTTTGTGGCACTTAAGAAACACAAAGTTGCAGCGGGGACAGGAGCCATGTCTGGCTGCGGAGGAGAGTGCGGGGTCTGCGAGCGCACCAATCAGCGCGCAGCTCCGCCCCTATAAATAGCAGGCAGCTCCGGGGCCGCACTTCAGACTTTACTTTTCGGTTCCGAGAGGTTCTAGCCCGCAGCCCGCCGCCTCCTCCTCCTTCAGCATCAGCCCCAGCGGAAAGCCGTCGCGAGCACAGGCGACCATGTCGGAGACTGCTCCGGAAGCGCCCGTAGCCGCGGCGCCGGCCGCCAAGGCACCGGCCAAGAAAGCCAAGAAGCCGGCGGGAGCCGCCAAGGCGCCGCGCAAGGCGTCGGGTCCCAGCGTGACGGAGCTGCTGACCAAGGCGGTGGCCGCGTCCAAGGAGCGCAACGGGGTGTCCCTGGCGGCGCTTAAGAAGGCGCTGGCGGCCGCCGGCTACGACGTGGACAAGAACAACAGCCGCATCAAGCTGGGCCTCAAGAGCCTCGTCAGCAAAGGCACCTTGGTGCAGACCAAAGGCACGGGCGCCTCGGGCTCCTTCAAGCTCAACAAGAAGCAGCTGCACGACACGGTCAGGGACAAGGCGGCGGCGGCCGGGGCCAAGAAGAAGCCGGCCGCCAAGAAGAGTCCCAAGAAGGCGGCGCCCAAGAAGCCCGCCTCCGGCTCGGCCAAGAAGCCCAAGAAGCCGGCCGCCAAGAAGAGTCCCAAGAAGGCGGCCGCGGCCAAGAAGCCGGCGGCGGGCGCCAAGAAAGCGGCGGCCAAGAGCCCCAAGAAGGCCAAGGCCGCCAAGCCCAAGAAGGCGGCGCCCAAGAGCCCCGCTAAGGCCAAGGCCGTCAAGGCTAAGGCCAAAGCCAAGCCCAAGACGCCCAAGGCCCGAGTGGCCAAGCCCAAGAAGGCGGCGCCCAAGAAGAAGTGAAGAGGCCACGCCCGCCCGCCAGCAGCCGTCGCCATCCCAAAGGCTCTTTTAAGAGCCACCCACTTTCTCACCCGGAAAGAGCTGGCTTACGCACCAGAGGTTCTCCCCGTACTTTGAAACTCACACACCCCTCTCGCCCGCTTCTTCATAACAAATCAAGGGACGCTGCAATCCCTGTGCGCACTTGCACCCTAGTCTGCGCTAGCACTTCGGTGCAGCTATGCACAGGGTTGAGTGGTTCGCCTCCTTAGCAGTGGTTTGGGGTACTTGGTTTTACAGGGCAGTAGTATACTGTAATTGAGCGAAATTACTCGTGTGCCTACTCCTGTGTTGTCAGCTAAGAGTGAATTGAGGGAATTTTAATAAGTCTTCGCTGGTTCAGACTTAAGAGTGGGCAACATTTTCGCGAGGGGGTCTCGAGTGCAACAAAGTTTGGTATACGAGTTCCAGGGTGTAGACACACAATTTCTCGGTAGGTATATCCCTTATTCCACTCCGCCCACAAGAATGAACGCTGAAATTCCAGTACGCGCTTGCGCCAGTCATCACTAGTCATTTTCCCAGATCCTTAAATCCCCCATATTTCCAGCCTGAAGGAGCTGCTGCCACCCTTGTCAATAATTTAGTGCTTGACTCCGTATAAACTCACGATAATAGGGTAGCGAGGTCTCCTTTGCCATACCCTGCTAAATCCTATCCGCCATGCACCCAACCAACAGTGCCCATTCCCCCCCCCACACACAATCTTTTCACTTTTCATGTCCTTCCTCAAATGTTTACGTATAGTGGTTACGCCACACCAGAGCTTGAAATCGTAGCGCATTACTGAAACTTCTAAAAAAAGCTGTTTTTAGGTAAGCCTATTTAAAGATACAAATGCAGTAGAAGCCATACCAGGGATAGCCCGTTACGTATTTTGGACAGTATAAACATACAGATCGCTGCAGCAGCAACCAGCTCTTTAAGTGAAGGAGTGGGTGGCTCTTAAAAGAGCCTTTGGGTTGTTACGAGTTTGCCGAAATGAATTGTAATACTGTAGTTTTTTAAGCCCTTTCCCCGCGGATGCGCCTGGCGAGCTGGATGTCTTTGGGCATGATGGTCACCCGCTTGGCGTGGATGGCGCACAGGTTCGTGTCTTCGAACAGACCCACCAGGTAAGCCTCGCTCGCCTCCTGCAGAGCCATCACCGCAGAGCTCTGGAAACGAAGGTCCGTCTTGAAGTCCTGCGCGATCTCGCGCACCAGCCGCTGGAAGGGCAGCTTGCGGATCAGAAGCTCCGTAGACTTCTGGTAGCGCCGGATCTCGCGCAGCGCCACCGTGCCCGGCCGGTAGCGGTGAGGCTTCTTCACGCCCCCCGTGGCCGGAGCGCTTTTACGCGCAGCCTTCGTGGCCAGCTGCTTGCGCGGCGCTTTGCCACCGGTGGATTTGCGGGCGGTCTGCTTGGTCCTGGCCATTTCTCTAAGGAAGTCAGCAACAAAGTTAACCTCTCTGCAGTACTTCGAAACAATGAAGGCAGCGGCTGGGCTGGCGGATATTTATAGCCGAATCCTCGTGGTCCTATTGGCTGAGGTCCGCAACGCAGCCGTTGAAAAAGTTTGAATATCGCGGGCTCTGCCCTGGTTGGACCAGTGATGGCAAAGCTTTCTGATTGGTTGATCCTCCTTCTCGCACGCCCAGTCTTTGTTCTCCGGAGTGAGGACCCCCCGGGCCGCCTCTTGCTTTCTAGCAGTAAACATGCCATGCCCAGTCACATCCCGCAACGATTCACAGATTCACACGCGGAAAGAATGCGCGCGGCTCCTGTGTTGTGCTTGAAGAATCATAGCACAAGGAGGAATTCCCTCCAGGGCGGATTCTCCCTTCTTATTCAACATGCATAACCTTAACATTCGTTTTATTAGAGCTGCATAACCTAAGCACACTCAGAAGGGGGGTGGGGACCCCGAAATAGCTCCATGGAAATTACTCCCTTGTTAAGTCGAGCTAGGATTGCTCCCTAATTATAGGAGTTGTCAGTGTCACATTTAATTCCTATCATATCGTCGAAGTAATTCATATGAAACTGACAAAAGTATATCCCCCCCCCAAAAAAAGGATTTTTATCTCACCTTTCAGCAGAAAAAAGCCCATGTTTTAAGAGAAGGAACACCAAAGATGGAGATGGAAGAGGGGGAAACAAGATCATGCACTGTAGTAACAAAATTTTGTAGTAAAGAGGAGGAATTGAAAAATTAGGAGAGGAGTCTAAAGTTCCTAGTATTTCAGCACAGCCAACACACGTGGGGGGTGCAGTCAGTACCATCTCAATGCTGAGAGTGTGGTGCTGATAATGTCAAGGTTGCAGATTCTATCCCCATAAGAGACAGCTGCATATTTCTGCATTGCAGGGGGTTGGACTAATGCATTCCTTCCAACTCTATTATTCGATAAGGCAATACATAATGTATTAAAATCCATGAATTTCTTCATTAAAATGTGTAGTTAATACGTAACCCCCTACTCTGGCATGGGGTCAAGTGCAAGTCTTCAGGTTTCCAACCAATCCTAGGGACTCTCCCAGGCCACATTGGTCACTAGGCCTGTCCCCCCCCCCTTTGTGCTTTTGCAAATGGAATAGATTGCAAATTTGGAATGGATACAACTTGCTTGCATGGAGGGAGAGGCATGTAAGTGTGTGTGCATGTGTAGGAACTTCTCACATTTGCATGGCTAGAAGGTAGCCTAGAAGGTCAGCCACACCTATTGCTCCACCACTTTTTAATCCTTTGCATGTGGCCCCCAGTGGGCTGCCCACAAATGAGTGCGGTCCTCTGACAGCAAAATGTGCTGCTCACTGCTTTAGAGCATGAGTAATACATTAACCAAATGCACACTCCTCCCTCCCCATCTCAGTGGCACAAGTCATTTACAACTCTGCTGTGTGCTTAGCTGTTTAAGCCAACATTTTGCCGCTGCAGTTGAGTCACTTCATCAGCTGGGGCTGATGGGCTAGGAACCACAGCTGGGACATGCTCTCCAATTGCTGCAGTGTGAGGGGCAGACTTGCCCTTTTATATTTTGTGAACTGCCCTCCTCATGTATTCAATAAGATTTTCACAGACATATAAACTGTGTAGGGCAGGGATGAAGAACCCGTTTCCTAACCCCCAACCCCCACCAGAAATAAATGGTTGTGTTCCATCAGCCCCTGTCACCACAGATTATTATTTTTATTCCCTTGTCTACCCCACCTTTCCTACCAGGAACTGAAAGTGGCAAGCATGGATTGCTCTCCCATTTTATCCTCAGGAAGCAGGGGGGGGGGGCGTTTACTGGCGGGATGCAGCAGGAGCTTCCTCTACACACTTGATGCTCACTGACATTATTGTGGGTGTATGAACAGAGCTTGTTGATGTAATAACAACAAACACATCTAATCAACTTCCATTTGCCCCCACCAACATCCATTAGATGTGAAATATACTCAGAGTCAAGAGTGGATTTCATGCTCTTTATTCACCTCATAGAGGTGAGGAGGAATGTAAGTTCCTCCAGAATGTCTGCTTTATACAGATTATTTACACAATGGGCCCCATGTGATTGGCTAATTCTAGGATTCTCCTGTAGGCCAATCAGGTTGCGGATTCACTTCCACCTGGAGCTGGATTGGGTGGTCCCTGTGGACCGATTAGACTGCTGCATTCTGGATCCTATTGTTCTAGGACCAATCAGACTGCTGCCTTTTGGATCCTATTCAACTCAGTACTCAGTACATAACACCCCTCCCCTCTAAGTTCCAGTCCTGCCTGGGAGGTTGCATTCATAGTCCTCAAGGTATGCCAGCCACCTACGTGTGCGTTGCGGCCTAGGGTGTTCCCTGGTCAGGGGTTCAGGTTTTGGCTGTGTTCGAAGGATGCTGGCTGCGATGGGGCCGTTTGGTCTGCCGCAACCGGCTCGCTCAGTCGTGGCTCTGCTTCCAGTGTCATTTCGGTCTCATGGGTCCTTTCTGTATTTACTGATTCTGCCTCTCCTGCTGGACCCTCCTGCTCTACGGGCCTCACTGCCCCACTATTCCCTTGGGACTCCTCTGACCTGTCCTCCTCCTGGTTTTCTCCCTGGAATCGTCGCCATAGCTGGTCGCAGTGGCGGCGCCAGCCTGGCCCCCCCATTAGGACCTCGGAAGACACAGAGCCAGTGACCCTGGTAACTGTGGCGGGTACCCATGCTGGGCCTGCCCCAAAATTCTTTGCGTACACTGGGTCCTGGGCCACACAGGTCCGGGGGTTCCTGCCTTCCCCCACCACTACCTCATCCTGAGCTCTGTTGGGGTGAAGGCAGTCCAGTCTGGTTGCGAGGCGCCAGCCCATTAATAGTTCAGCGGGGCCCTGGCCAGTTGTTGAGGTGGGGGTCCTGTGCTGTGCTAGAAGGAATGTGGCCAGGCGGTACTCCCAATCCCCTTACGTCATGCGGTGGAGGGTGTCCTTTGTGGCCCGCACCATGCACTCTGCTTGGCCATTGGTGGCAGGGTGGAATGGCGCCAAGTAGATGGCGTTCAGTGCTGTGAAGGTCTGGAATTCTCCTGACGTAAATGCAGTTGCGTTGTCAGAGATGAGTGTCAGGGAGCCCGTGGGTTGCAAACCGTCTGCGTATTACCCAGATGGCTGTGGATGTCGAAGTGGACGGTACCAGTGCGACTTTCAGCCATTTGGTGTAGGAGTCCACCACTATGAAGAATGTTTTCCTCTTAAAGGGGCCAGCGAAGTCCACGTGCAGGCATGACCATGGTGCTCGGGCGGACTCCCAGGACTGGACTGGGGCCCTTGGGGGATCTGGGCGGGATTCTTGGCAGGCCTGGCAATGTTTGACCCAGGCCTCTATCACTCTGTCAATCCCTGGCCACCACACAGAACTCTGGAAGAGGGCCTTCATTCTCACAATCCCTGGGTGTGTCTCGTGTAGGGCTGTCAGGACTCTTTTGCGGAGGGGATGGGGAACAACGACCCTGCTTCCCATAACAGGCACCCCTTGTGGGCTGACAGTTCATGTTTATGGGTTGTGTAGCCCACGAATTCAGACCTGGGGCTGCTGCTGGGCCATCCCCTCCACACCCAGTCCTGGACCCAGGAGATGATCTTATCTTTCTTGGAATGGTGCGCAACGTCTTGTGCCTGAATGGGGTGGTTGGGAAGCAACTCCAGGCTAATAACCTCTTGCGCGAGCGCTGGGTCGGGGCCGGTTTCTGGTAGTGGTAGCCTGCTGAGGGCGTTCGCGTGGCCCATCGCCTTCCCAGGGCGGTGAATCAGTGCATTCTCATTAAGGCAGCTGTGGTCTGTGTGCTGCTTGAGTGTACCGCTGTACTTGGTGCACCTCCTCCCTGACAGATCCAGAGTCGTTGGTGAGGTTTTTGTGGTGGACCCTCGGTTGGGGCAGCAGGCTCGGCCGTGCCTCTTGCATCGACCTCTTGGCAGCTTCAGTTGCCAGGGCCTCCTCCAGAGCGACCTGGAACGTTAGGTCCTTCTTGGCGTAGAGGCGTCGTTGCAGCTTCTCATCCTTCAGGCCACCGACGAGGCGGTCACGAAGCATGTTCTCAAACTCTGAGAAGTTGCAGAACCGGGCAGCTTGGCGGAGGGAGGTCACAAACTCAGTTATGGTTTCCCCAGGGGCTTGCCGCTTTGCATAGAAGGCATTTCGACAAGCCACTACCGAGGGCTGCGGTGAGAAGTGCCCCTTCAGCCGTTCCATTATTGTTTTGTAAGGAACAGTAGCGACGTCTTCAGGCGCAAGGAGAGCCCGGGCAATTTCAAACGTCTCCTCTCCACAGACACTGAAGAATATCGCCCTCTTCTTGGCGTCTTCTTCATTGGTGACCCCTTTGGCTTCTAGGAGGAAGGTGAAACGGGAGGCGTACGCTTCCCAGTCTCCTGATGCCGGGTTGAATGGCGAGAAGCTGCTGTCGGTTGCCATTCTGAGTTCCTTGGGGCCTGGAGCTGAAGCCTGGATACATGGTGCAAGGCAATGGTGCGACAGCCTGGATACAAGGTGCGAGGCAGCGGTGCAGCAGGTGGTGGTGCTGCAGTGCTGTGTGTGGCGGTCAGCTCGGCGGGATCCCATCCTTGTTGCCAGTGAAATATACTCAGAGTCAAGAGTAGATTTCATGCTCTTTATTTAGCTCATAGTGGTGATGAGGAATGGAAGTGCCCCCAGAATGTCTGTTTTATATACATTATTTACACAATAGGCCCCACATGATTGGCTAATTCTGGGAGTCTCCTGTAGGCCAATCAGGCTGCGGATTCACTTCCACCTGGAGCTGGATTGGGTGGCTCCTGTGGACCAATCAGACTGCTGCATTCTGGATCCGATTGTTCTAGGACCAATCAGACTGCTGCATTCTGAATCCTATTGTTCTAGGACCAATCAGACTGCTGCATTTTGGATCCTATGCAACTCAGTACATAACAAGATGTATTTTGGAATCATGACAATTTTTAGCATCACCAAAAAAGTGTCCTAATATGTACTTTGTCCATTTTGTTTCTCCTATCTCTAAGAATCTGCAGTGAAAGTAAACAGGCAAGGTTCTGATACTATTTTTAATTGCTGCTCAAGCCAAACCGCTAATTAGCACTACACAAACTGGAATATATTTATATACCTGGTGTAACCAGCTAAAATCAATATACACTTCACTTGTATTTCTCTTTACTTTTGCTCTCTAACTTTAATAGGTTCTATGTGTGTGCATGACGAAACTGTGTTAACTGCTGGTTCTTGATAGGAGTTCTGATGAACTCAACAGCGTTGTCTGTCTGATTTCAATAACTAACTGGTACTCCTGAAAAGGTATTGCTCAGCAACCGCTCACCTGTCCTAAGACACCAACAAGCCACCGGTACATCATTTCCCCCCAACATTTTTAAATATTTTTTTTCAGAGTTAAGGGGCCAGCTCAATAACCGTTCAGCATACAAAGCGACGCTTTGCACCTGCGTAGTCAGCACGGAAGGCGGGGCAAAAGGAGATAAGAATGAAGTCTCGTGATTTGTGACGCGTTTGGGTGGAACCAATCTAAAACCCCAGCGTTGCTTTGCAATTGGATAGCTACAAGAAATCCCGCGTTTTTTCTATGCCATTTCTGGTTTCTTTGTTCATGGATAAACGCGCCTCCCACTCCTCAATTTGCAGTATAGCTAGACCGACGATTAAATCACGCGTTAAAAGGGGTGTTATGTTAAGAAACACACGAGGCAGGATACAGAGCTTTTTTAGATGAAAACGGAAAACCTATTTGAAGACGCGTAGGTCTGGGGGAAAACAGCTGCGAGATCTGCCACAAAAAAGCCTTGAGAAAGGAAATGGCGACCAGCATTACTCCTTTATTAACGTTCTACATGGGGCTTAAAATTAAACAAAGCAAGGCGGGAAACCGGGGGTGGGGGATTTTATTTAATTAACCCAGAAAATAGCAAGCTCCCACTACGTATTTAGTTTTAAAGAGGAAACCTCAGTCGGTTGCTACAAAAGTAGCGCAAATGGGACAAGAAAATATCAAAAGCTGGAAACCAGCCCGAGTTCCTAAACCGTAATCATGTTTCCTTTGGCAACCTCACTCTAGAAGGACAAGGCTACATTGCTACCGAAAAATCGCAACACACTCATTTTATCACAACGTTGCTTTCTAAAGATACAAGCGAGCGCAGCTCTTTTTATGAAAGCGTGGGTGGCCCTTATAAGGGCCTTTTGGGTTCTTAAGTATATGAAGGGTTTTGAAAAGCTTAGCCACCAAAACCGTACAGAGTACGACCCTGGCGCTTCAGAGCGTAGACGACGTCCATGGCAGTCACGGTCTTCCTCTTGGCGTGCTCGGTGTAGGTCACAGCATCGCGAATCACGTTCTCCAGAAAGACTTTGAGGACGCCTCGGGTCTCTTCGTAGATCAAGCCAGAAATACGCTTCACGCCTCCGCGGCGAGCCAAGCGGCGGATAGCAGGCTTGGTGATGCCCTGGATGTTATCGCGAAGCACTTTGCGGTGCCGCTTGGCGCCTCCCTTTCCAAGGCCTTTGCCACCCTTTCCGCGACCAGACATCTCTGCTGAGTAAGTCTCTACCTCCCAGACGAAGAAAAAAGGAATGAAGCTGCGGGAACAACGGCACGGGTATATATAGCACTGAGCCCGACCTGAGTGAAACCCGCACAAAGGGGGCGTGTTCTGATTTCACCACGCCCCTCTTCCGTCAGCGCGCTCGTCATAGTAGCCCGGCTTCTTCACCAATCAAGCCGCGAGGGTTTGAATCTGACCAATCAGATTTTTTTCTTACTTCACGTTATTTGGGTATGCTTGGAGCCTCAGTAAAAGATGATTAGCAGGCGAAATTATATGCAATTCATACAGGAAAATTGTTCTTCTGCATTTTGCTTTTAAGAGGGGCAATTTTTTACGTACCACCCGGTAAGTGGGTATCAGCCCCAGGAGTAATACAGAGTCTGAAGTGGCGAGGCAAGAAATCGGTTGGTGCCACTTTAATCGCCCGCTTTAAATACTAGCCGAGTCGAGGAAATGATTTCTTAAAATGCCGTTCTAGTATTAACTGCTTTCTTTTCCCAGCGCTCACTTCAGTGTGACATCCGACGCCGACACCCCCGGAGGCGCGCTCCTCTATCCAGACACACGGGTGCCAAAATGCTCGAATGTTCCTTAATCGTCCTTTCCTAACTAGGAGAAGCCACAGAGCCCCTCTTTAATTAATATTCACCACCACAGCAGTCCGAGGAAACCTCGCTTAAAGAGATACATAATGTGGATCTCACGACCTGTTCCCTAAGTGTTACAAGTTACAGAAAGCTCAGCGCCTCTCAATCTTCTGATGCTTTTTCGCTACAGAAACGAGATCATGGAAACCAAGTATCATTGTCTCCAATGAGAATGAATGACGAGAAAGCTCTGACGAATTGAAGAGGAGCAGGTTTTGTCCAATCATGGTGTAGCCCGGCAGCTTGAAAAATATGTATCATGGCTGTTTCAGCCAATCAGGTCAAGAGGAGGTTGCTATAAATATCCGGGATTCGGATCTGCTTGCTCATTCATTTCAGTCTTAGACCTGTGTTGCTTCGTCCTCCTTATTTGCTGCTGGCGAGAGAATGGCCAGGACCAAGCAGACCGCCCGCAAATCCACCGGTGGCAAAGCGCCGCGCAAGCAGCTGGCCACGAAGGCTGCGCGTAAAAGCGCTCCGGCCACGGGGGGCGTGAAGAAGCCTCACCGCTACCGGCCGGGCACGGTGGCGCTGCGCGAGATCCGGCGCTACCAGAAGTCTACGGAGCTTCTGATCCGCAAGCTGCCCTTCCAGCGGCTGGTGCGCGAGATCGCGCAGGACTTCAAGACGGACCTTCGTTTCCAGAGCTCTGCGGTGATGGCTCTGCAGGAGGCGAGCGAGGCTTACCTGGTGGGTCTGTTCGAAGACACGAACCTGTGCGCCATCCACGCCAAGCGGGTGACCATCATGCCCAAAGACATCCAGCTCGCCAGGCGCATCCGCGGGGAAAGAGCGTAAGGCAGCACCTGCTACCTCGTAGCCACCCGCACCCCCTTGCACCCCCTCATTACCCCAAAGGTTCTTTTGAGAGCCACCACATTCTCCTCCAGAAGAGCTGGACTCGCTTCCGTTTCTATGAACCCAAGTAAAGTTGCTAATGTTTAGCACAACTCCATTCGTTGGTCCCAACATCTATCACAGACACCCGCCCGCCCCCCCCTTCCATAATCGCTTTTTTGAAAGGAGTGGGAAACACTGAGCGGGAAATTGTGTGTCTACACCCCTGGAACTCGTACACCAAGCTTTGTTGCACTCGTGTCCCCCTCGCAAAAAGAACTCTTGGCCACGCTTAAAAGAAGATGCTGGCTTAAATGGGTATTTGGTCGGAACAAGACAGAGGTTCTCCGCGTCTTAAGAATCGATAATTCTAATACTTTTAAAAAATGCATGCTTAGTTGATGGCGCTGCAGTAATCCCGCTCAAACAAGCCACTGCCTTTGACACTCAAGTAACCACAGCCACGAAGCTGTGCGTAGTTGTCAGAAGTGCCAGCGCTGTCTATGGTAGTGTCAGTGACTGCGTTCCTATTAACAGCGGGCGGGGTGCAGGCACTGTCCAAAGGCCACTCCCGGAACCCATGTCGGCGCCCCTTGTTAGGGTGCCAGACATAGGTGGCAACTCCCTGGGTTCCCGAGCACCCACACAATTCCCCATGAATGGGCACCCACCAATCTTGGTGCTAGGGCCATGCACCCAAGGTCGCGGGGCAAAGTTGGTACCCCTGAAACCCCATGGCTTAACGTGCGGCGAGCTGCTAGCGTCGACTAAGCTGTTTAAGCGCGCGCAGGGATTGCAGCGTCCCTTTTATTTTTGGTTATTAAAAAGCAGGCGTGCGGGCGAGGTGTGACTTTCCAAACTCCCAAGTACGGGAAACCTCTCGTGATGCTTATGATGCCTGGTACAGCCCTGTAAAACCAAGTACCCCAAACCATACCGATAAAGAGGCGAACCGAACCTCTCAACCCTGTGTATAGCTACTCCGAAGTGCAGGCGCAAACTAGTGTGCAAGTGCGTCTCTTTATTTTTATTAAAAAGCGGGCGGGTGGGGGTCTGATTTGACTTTCCAAACTTGCAAGAAGGGAAAACCACTGGTGACGCTGGAGCAGCGCAAGTCAGCTCTTTCCGGGTGAGAAAGTGGGTGGCTCTTAAAAGAGCCTTTGGGATGGAGAGGGCTGCTGGCGGGCGGGGCGTGGCCTCTTCACTTCTTCTTGGGCGCCGCCTTCTTGGGTTTGGCCACTCTGGCCTTGGGCGTCTTGGGCTTGGCTTTGGCCTTAGCCTTGACGGCCTTGGCCTTAGCAGGGCTCTTGGGCGCCGCCTTCTTGGGCTTGGCGGCCTTGGCCTTCTTGGGGCTCTTGGCCGCCGCTTTCTTGGCGCCCGCCGCCGGCTTCTTGGCCGCGGCCGCCTTCTTGGGGCTCTTCTTGGCGGCCGGCTTCTTGGGCTTCTTGGCCGAGCCGGAGGCGGGCTTCTTGGGCGCCGCCTTCTTGGTGCGCCCGGCGGCCGGCTTCTTCTTGGCCCCGGCCGCCGCCGCCTTGTCCCTGGCCGTGTCGTGCAGCTGCTTCTTGTTGAGCTTGAAGGAGCCCGAGGCGCCCGTGCCTTTGGTCTGCACCAAGGTGCCTTTGCTGACGAGGCTCTTGAGGCCCAGCTTGATGCGGCTGTTGTTCTTGTCCACGTCGTAGCCGGCGGCCGCCAGCGCCTTCTTGAGCGCCGCCAGGGACACCCCGTTGCGCTCCTTGGACGCGGCCACCGCCTTGGTCAGCAGCTCCGTCACGCTGGGACCCGACGCCTTGCGCGGCGCCTTGGCGGCTCCCGCCGGCTTCTTGGCTTTCTTGGCCGGCGCCTTGGCGGCCGGCGCCGCGGCCACGGGCGCTTCGGGAGCAGTCTCCGACATGGTCGCCTCTGCTCGCGACGGCTTTCCGCTGGGGCTGATGCTGAAGGAGGAGGAGGCGGCGGGCTGCGGGCTAGAACCTCTCGGAACCGAAAAGTAAAGTCTGAAGTGCGGCCCCGGAGCTGCCTGCTATTTATAGGGGCGGAGCTGCGCGCTGATTGGTGCGCTCGCAGACCCCGCGCTCTCCTCCGCAGCCAGACATGGCTCCTGTCCCCGCTGCAACTTTGTGTTTCTTGAGTGCCACAAAACGGCCCAAATCGCCGCGTCGCCGCCTCGCAGCGCGCCGGGCCCCGGGCGAAAGGGACCCGCGGGAGCCTCTCTCTCCGAGCCCGGCCGCCTCGCGGGCCGGGGAGGCGGCGCGCCGGGGGAAACCAGGCAGAAGCGCGGCCGAGTCCCGCTCGGCGCGCCTGGCGCCGGGAAATCTGGGCCTTTTTCGGCTAAATTAAAAACTCCTCGCGGCGATCGGGGGCCCAAGAAACGCGCCGGGCCAATCTCGGGGGGGTCTGCGCCCCGCTGGTGGGGGACCCGGCGTCTCCGGAGCGGCCGCTGTTGCGCAAAAGCGCTTCGAGTTGGGCCAAGTAACACATTCATTCATTCACTTTGGGCCCAGAGAGAAGTTGCCTCGCACAGAAAGGCCCTCAGTTTTAGGACATAGAAAGTTTCTAAAACATAATTGTCCTTTCCCCTTTTCTTTTCTTTATTGTGATGCTTATGACCTGGGTCCCCAAGGAACCCACAACATTTTAAAGGTGACCCATTAGTTCCCCATAAAACACTATTGATTTGATTGGTTTCTATTGTCTAGCACTGGAACATGAGAAATGTTTTTATTAAAAGTTATTTTCTCTTCCAACTTCCCCCCTTCCCACATCATCACATTGTTTGCTATTTATTTTATATTTGAAAGGGGATAGCATATATAATATGCTGAAGCATATGGAACATAGAGGGCACTAAATGGCTATAGAGGCCAGTGCCTCTGCCCATGGATGAATGGTAAATGAACGAAGAGCAGAATATTTATTCAGAACTGCAGGATTATGATGCTGCATTTAAAAAAATTAAAATTAAAAAAAAAACAGAAATCAGAATACAGATAAGCATTACAGTGGTACCTCAGGTTATATACGCTTCAGGTTACAGACTCTGCTAACCCAGAAATAGTGCTTCAGGATGAGAACAGAAATCGTGCTCCAGCGGCGCGGCAGCAGCAGGAGGCCCCATTAGCTAAAGTGGTACCTCAGGTTAAGAACAGTTTCTGGTTAATTACGGACCTCCGGAACAAATTAAGTACTTAACTTGAGATACCACTGTACCTGAAACCTCTGTTGTTAAGCCAATTTTAAGTTAGCCTCTAATATCATTAAATCCTTCTGCAAATTGGCAATTTTTGCATGCTCCATACATCTCTTTGCAATACCGTATTTTTCGCCCCATAGGACGCACCGGCCCATAGGACGCACCTAGTTTTTTTTGGGGGGGGGAATAAAAAAAACCCCCCCCGGCTTCCCCCGACCCCAGCCCCCAGAACAGGCTGCTATCCGCAAGTCGTGGGAGAGCTGCGCAAAGTCGCGCGGCTCTCCCACGGCTAGCGGAGGGCTGCGCGAAGCTTGGGGTGTGCTGAGCTCAGTGCGCCACAAGCTTCTGGGTGCCAGCAAGCTCTCCGCTAGCCGTGGGAGAGCTGCGTCTCCCACGGCTAGCGGACAGCTTCCTGAAGCCTGCATTCACCCCATAGGATGCGCAAACATTTCCCCTTCATTTTTGGAGGGGGGGAAGTGCGTCCTATAGGGCGAAAAATACGGTACATCTCTTGCCCTTACAGTCTCATAAAGTACACTTTAGGGCACAGTTCTTGCCAGATGTTTTTGGGTTCCCGTTCCCATCAGCCCCAGCCAGCATGGTCAATGGCCAACCAAGGAGAGTGCGAGTTGTAGTCCAGCAGCATATTGGAAGACTCTATGTTGTTTAGACTGTAGACATAGGATGGATACAATGCAGCCTAGTGACATTTCTATGTTTTGTTACTTGTGGTAATGCCTTAATCCCCCTTCATGGTCCTCATATAATTTTCTAACGAGCAAAATTAATGCATTTGCATTCCATTTCAAATAAAATGGATTTTTTTATTATTAAAAAAAGCAGTCTTTTGCCTCCTCTGAAGGAATGCTTTTTTAAAAAGCCATAGCAACCATAAAAAACAAGCAAAAGATAGCATTACAAAACTACACAGGATCACACCTTGTTTAACCTGTGCATGCAACAAATGTACATAACTCACATCAAGGGGTCTTCTTGGAGAGTTACACTTTAAGTCACAAGAAAATTTATTTATGGGAGAAAACTTGGTGCTTTGAGGAAATGGGAGTTCAGCTTAGTTTTATTTCCATTCTCCCAGATTTTTAAATTGCCCACTTGTATAATAAACATAGGGTGGTGCTGTGGTCTAAACCACAGAGCCTAGGGCTTGCTGATCAGAAGGTCAGTGGTTTGAATCCCTGTGACGGGGTCAGGGTGAGCTCCTGTAGCCCTGTCCCAGCTCCTGCCAACCTAGCAGTTCGAAAGCACGCCAGTGCAAGTAGATAAACAGGTACCTCTCTGTCAGGAAGGAAAACGGCGTTTCCGTGCACTGCTCTGGTTCGCCAGAAGTGGCTTTGTCATCCTGGCCACATGACCCGGAAGCTGTATGCCGGCTCCCTCGGCCAATAAAGCGAGATGAGCGCCCCAACCCCAGAGTCGTTCGCGACTGGACCTAACGGTCAGGGATTCCTTTACCTTTTTATAATAAACATAGCAGCAGCTGGTATACTGAAACCACGGTGTGATATCACAGCCAGGATGTGAATATTTATGAAATTCCTGGGTTCTACTCTTTTGAAACTGCGGGAGGCAGTGGAAGACAGAAGTGCCTGGCGTGCTCTGGTCCATGGGGTCACGAAGAGTCGGACACGACTAAACGACTAAACGACAACAACTCTTTTGAAATGGTGGCAGTGAGGGAATTTCTCCCTCTCAACCTCATGTACCTTTGCAGAGTTGTTGTAGATAAACATGAATGCTTTGCAACTTTAGCATCTGTGCTATGCAGGGACACAGAAATCTTACCGAAGCTATCTCTTTTTTTTATCTATCTATCTATCTATCTATCTATCTATCTATCTATCTATCATCTATATCTATCTATCTATCTATCTATCTATCTATCTATCTATCTATCTATATCTATCTATCTATATTTCTATCAAAACCACACCACACGCTCACACACAACTTTCCTTGCAAAGCCACTAACTTGCTCTAGAAGCCATGAAAGCCTAGGGCCTGGGGTGTTACTTGAAATACAGGACTGGGGAGCCTGTGGCTCCCCAGATGATGTTGGACTACAATTCCCATTGGCCACAGCCAGCAGTCAACACTCAGGGATGATGGGAGTTGTAGTCCAACGTCATTAGGAGGCCCCAGCAGCAGATGCCATGATGGGGCTGTCTCTCTCGTGGCACAGTGACATGCCACATGGCCCTGGTCCTCACTTAAAGGGATTAAATGTGGGGAATACATGACGCGCAAGATATGGATAATAATAGAACAGTCCACTAGGTGGCAGTAAGAAACAAACATTTAATAGTCACATCATTGAATCAGGTGCACAAAATTCAGAGAGGGACATTATTAGCAATTTTAGGCAGAGCAATAATTAACTCTCTGCTCTTCAGTTGAATCAGTTAAACAGCCAAGCATAGTTTACATTTACATACCTTGAGCATAAGAAGAAAATACTTGGAGATGAATATATAAAGCCTACAAATGATTTAATTAAGTTGTTTCGTTCCTCTTTCAGAACTATTGAGTACAGTAGATTACCTGAGAGGAAGGAAAGCAGAGGGTTCAAAAGGGAAAGAATGGCTGAGAGGAGAGAAAGGAAGAAATGTTTCCTCTAGACTTTTCCAGTTTCCCAACTCACTCTATGGAACATTAAATGGACAGCACAGCACAGAGATGTTGAAGACTTCTTAGGAAAAGGTGCGTACAAAAATGCAAATATTAAGGAATATGATGTACAAGGATACATGGCACTGGGGGAACTGGCTTGCAAACAGGTGTCCATTAGGCAAAACGAATGCACAGATGAGGATAAATGAACACAAACGTGTGTATGAACCCTCCACCTTGGACCACACAGGACATTGAGATGGATGTTAAAGCTGGAGGTCAAGTCACCATGTTTCCAGCTCCCAGAAGGGCACGCAGTTGTCATAGTCAGAAACCACCAGAGCCCCTGGGTTGGAGGCAGGGATGGGGCATTGAGATGCCCCCGGAAAGCACTGGTCTGCAGCTACTAGGCAAGCTCCACAGGCTGCAGAACCTTCTCCGTTGGACGGCAGGCCGGGTGGCGCATTATTACATCCCAGCAGGCACGACTCTAAGGGATCGGGGCCACACAGAGACAAGGTGTTGCTTGCCGGCTCCATCTCCTCAGTGATGGGCTCGAAAAGTTCATCTGGTCCTGACATCAGGGCGTCAAGGGAGAGCGCCCAGCTGGGGCTGGGGTCGGGAGCCACAAACGCTTCTGCTGTGCCCAAAAAGGAGCCAGGAGGAGCCCGGGCGGGGGGTGGGTTGTTGGGCTTGGGGGGATTCATTTGCTGAGATGCTGCAGGGGGTGTCTGAGCCTCCTGGGAAAGGATGGAGGAGGCCAAGCGGCGAGTAGCAGCCTCAATGTCTGAGAAACTCCTGGGGGGAGAAAAGAAAAGGCCGTGAGTTTTCTTGCAGGCTGCAATGGGTTTACCTGAAGCAGTGCACTATGGGATACACCCAGCGCCTTTTTTTTCTTAAAAAAAATGTTTAGGGGTACTCTCATTTTCCTACTCATATTGAAATACTGCCCCTCAATGAGGCCAAACTTAAAGGTAAAGGACCCTTGACAGTTAAGTCCAGTTGCAAACGACTCTGGGGCCGTGGCGCTCATCTCGCTTTACTGGCCGAGGGAGCCGACGTTTGTCCGCAGACAGTTTTTCCGGGTCATGTGGCCAACATAACTAAGCTGCTTCTGGCGAAACCAGAGCAGCGCACGGAAACGCCGTTTACCTTCCCGCCGGAGCGGTACTTATTTATCTACTTGCACTTTGACGTGCTTTCGAACTGCTAGGTTGGCAGGAGCTGGGACCAAGCAACGGGAGCTCACCCCGTCGTGGGGATTCGAACCACCGACCTTCTGATCGGCAAGCCCAAGGCACAGTGGTTATGTTTAGGGGTATGCGTACCCCTGTGCGCCCCCAGAAAAAAAAGCACTGGATACATCAGAGTTTCTCACCATGCCTTACAGCACAGTTTGTAAGCATGCCTCCATCTCAGGGATGCATTATTATTATTATTATTATTATTATTATTATTATTATTATTATTATTTTACCTATTCCTAGAATCATGGAGTTGGAAGGGGCTTTCCTTCCTAAAAAAACCAACCCTTTGCAATGCAGGAATATGTAGCTGTCCCTCACGGGGATCAAGCCTGCAACCTGGGTGTTATCAGCACCATGCTTTAACCAACTGAGCAATCCAGTGCTTATCACCCAAAAGATCTGATATTTTCCCACAACAGCCCTCTGCTTATAGGCACCAGTTTGGCATTTTGTGGGGGGAGAGCAGAGCCATTGTCAGAGACAGATAGGCAATGCCAGGCATTTGCCAAGGCCCCCATCGCTGTTGCCCTTCCTTTCCCCAAACCTCCAGGCTCTGCTCCTCTCCCTCCCTCCTTTGCTGTGCTATCACTGCCTGTTCCCCTGCCCTCTCTGAGCATGCGGGAAGTGACAGAGTGAGAAGACAGAGCGGAATCCTTCACTTGCCCTCTGGGTGGTTATATGTATTGAGCCCTGAGGGTGAGGGCAAGTCAACGGGCAGAAGGAACATCAGCAAGGAGGAGATGGACCACTCAGGGCATCTTGCCCAAGACTTCTCTTCCCTTCTCCCAAATAAACTCTAGAGTCAGAAGCATGGGGGTGAGGTGGGGATGGGGAGAACAGGGATGGTAGGTGTTTGAGTTCAGAAGCAGCAATGCTTCTGAATATCTGTGGCTGGAAACCATGAGAGGGGAGAGTGTTCTTGTGCTCCAGTGCTGCTCACAGGCTTCCCACAGGCCTCTGGTTGGCCATGCATGGTGAGAACAGCATGGACCACTGGCCTGCTCCATCAGGGCTCATCTTATGCCCTTCAAATGTCCTACCTGCAAATCTGGTTCTGTAGGAACCTCCGGTGGTTCACTTTCCTCTTGCCGGGCCGGCTCCTGCAGGGTCTCTGCAAGGTGCGCATGACGTGGGATGCTGCTGTTGACACAAAGGTGCACAGATCCCTCCCACGCTCGTATGAAGTCAGGGGCCGTGGAGGCGCCATGGAAGGCTGAGAGATGTGGCTGCCATGTGGCATTCTCAGTTTTGTTAGGAGTTGATACGAAGCACCTCCTGCAAAGTCCTGCTTTTGCTATGGTAGCCTGCACCTGCGAAGGAAGCTCTGATTGGGCCTGGAGAGGTGGGAGAAGAGAGCCCCCATTAGAGGAGCGTAGTCATGGCATGTCCCCCCCCCCCCAAGTAAGCTGAGTTGCAACACCTCTTGCTAAACCCATCCATCGCTGTCTCCTTCACTGCAAATCTCTGTTGTCCTTCCTTATCCCTAGTGAAATTTGAAATAGAAACAAGAGAGACCTCTTCTGGAAGCATGAAGTCAAGACAGGATCACCTAAAATGTCACTCCTTTCTCTCCCCATCTCCTTCCAATCACTAAGCTAGAAGAGTTTCATGAACTACAAACACCAAAATTTGGGATCCCCTCCAAACCTGTGCCAAAGCTTTGCAAAGCTGTGACCCGTGTTTTGCAGAACGCCCTAAACAGATACATCAAACTGGGATTCATAGTTAACGCTCAAAAATGCAACACTGCTGGATCCCAAATTTCGGGGTTCATAGTTAACAAAGCTATAAGAAAAGCCTTAAAGGTATATACATCTCTTCTATCTCTCTCACATGAACGGCAAAACAAAGATGCAATTGAACAGGGTTTGGCTCTACCCTGGCTAAACTCAGCACTGCCTTGACTTACACCAGTTTCTTGTGCATAGCATTGCTTCCTTACTTGCAAGTAGTCTGCAAATGTACCGCTGGACGTGTGATTTCAGATGGTGCAGAATTTATTCTGGGTATAGAGCTGTTCAGACCCTAGGTCCTTATTCAGGTTGTATCTGCACCTTAAGGAACCAGGAAAGGACTAGGAACCTATTTTGGCTGAGGGTTTAAAAGTGACCGTTAATTTCTAGATTAGCAAAACACAAATGGGACCTGCAACAAAAAGTGGCGACGGAGTGCAGCGTTCAGGATGCCAACTGCTTTGTTCAGTTTCCCTCTGACCCTCACCTAACAGCCTGCCAGCATTCCTTGCCTCTGAACACACACAGTCCTCACTGGGCAATTTGGGTGGGTTCACCCCAATAGACCTTTTTCATGAAAAACAATTGCATGTCTTTAAATGTTGGGTCCCCCTAAGCCTGTTGGTACCTCTCTCTTGTGCCATTTGGGCTGCATAAGGATTCGTCCTCACATCATGAATATTGGAAATAGAAGGAATGATACAAAATAGTTCTCAAGGGATTTCAGTCCTGACTTCAAGTCCTGGGTAGTGTTTTTTTTTTTTTGGCTTGGGGTAGATTTGGCACCCTCTTTCCCCCCTCCCCCATCAACACCCCCCCCCTTCTTGGCAGATCGAGTCTTCACACAGTTTTCGACAACATATGTACACATATGAACGGAATAAGTAGCGGTTGCCCCAATTTAAATGAAGTACCTTCCAGATCTGCTCCTAATTCCACATACCTGTCCTTAGATGAAGAGATCTGAGAAGCTGAGTTCCACGTAAAGACATCGGCGCTTGGCAATCTTCTCTCTGACTCCCTGAATGCCTGTCTGTTTATCTGTCCTTCCATCCACCACCCCAAGACTGCTCCCAACAAACTCCTTTTGTTCCCAACTGCATCTATTTCTTCTCCCTCTTGTCCGAGGACTGCCTGCTTTGAGATTGGTACCCAGAACAGAGACTGATAAAGATGCTTAAGAACTCCACCCCTTTCCCTCTCCACCTCCCCCCTCCCCACCTTAAGGAAAATCATAGCCACTACCAGGCACCAGGTTGAAATTAATCCCTGTAAGGAATTTATTGGTTGTTAGTAAAGAAAGACATATTTTGTTTTTCTTTCTCTAGTTGGGGTGAGGTGGGGGTGCTAGCTCAGGTGAGACTGCAGGGAACAAGGTTTACTCAGATACAGTGGTACCTTGGTTCTCAAACTTAATCCGTTCCGGAAGTCCGTTCCAAAACCAAGGCGATCTAAAACCAAGGCGCGCTTTTCCATAGAAAGTAATGCAAAACGGATTCATCCGTTACAGACTTTTAAAAACCCTTAAAACAGCAATTTAACGTGAATTTTACTATCTAACGAGACTGTTGATCCATAAAATGAAAGCAATAATCAATGTACTGTACTATAAAATAAATAAGATAGTATTGTAGATGATAAAAATAAAAATATATTTTTTTTACCTGCACTGATGATAGTCACAAAAACAAATTAACTGCCTCCAAAATAAATAGCAAAAACAAAAGCGCCAAGCCTAATCTGTTCCGGAAGTCCATTTGACTTCCGAAAGATCAAAAACCAAGACACAGCTTCTGATTGGTGCAGGCGCCCAGGAAACAATAGCCAACAGCCGCATTGGACACTTGGCTTCCGAAAAACGTTCAAAAACTGGAACACTTACTTCCAGGTTTTCGGCGTTTGGGAACCAAGGCGTTTGAGTACAAGGCATCTGAGAACCAAGGTACCCCTGTATTGGATTATATTTGCCTATACCTTGCGTTACAATGCCTTTAACATGCATTGTAGAATTGTACAGTGAGACTGCAGTCCTATACTGTACACACTTACCTAAGGAGTAATCCCCATCAAAAACAATGGGATTTACCTCTCAACTGACATGCATGGCATTGTGCTGTTGAGGGCATCACAACTCAAGGTAGATCATAAGCGCTGCTGAAGAACGTAGTTAAGAAATCGTCAGAGGAAATGGGATGGTTGGAAACCGTCATCTCAGCATATACACGTCCTTCCAGATTCAAGGCTGAGCAATGTCTGCAACCTTGAAGACCCCAAATCACTTCTGAGGCTGCGTACAAATCATATGCGTAAAGTGCATTTTTACACCCCAAGAACCCTTGGAACTGTAGTTTGTTAAGGGTGCTGGGAACTGCAGCTCTGTTTGGGGTAAGCTACCATTGGTTTGCTAATTACCGTATTTTTCGCTCTATAAGACGCACCAGACCACAAGACGCACCTAGTTTTTGGAGGAGGAAAACAAGAAAAAAAATATTTTGAATCTCAGAAGCCAGAACAGCAAGAGGGATCGCTGCGCAGTGAAAGCAGTAATCCCTCTTGCTGTTCTGGCTTCTGGGATAGCTGCGCAGCCTGCATTCGCTCCATAAGACGCACACACATTTCCCCTTACTTTTTAGGAGGGAAAAAGTGAGTCTTATAGAGCAAAAAATACAATTGTATATGGCTTGATTGTTAAAAAAAAAAGTATTTCAAACTGGTTTACAAGAAGAACGAAATAAATAAAGGGGGCGGGGGGGAACCAACCAGAAAAAACAACTATCCAAACATAATTTAAGTTCGTGATAAGCTAAAAACCAGTTTAATTTACATGTCAACAGGTCTGGATAGGCTTGCCTGAACAACAATGCTTAATAATAATAATAATATTTTTTTATTTATACCCCGCCCTCCCCAGCCAAGGCCGGGCTCAGAGCGGCTTACAAGCAATAATAAAAACAAGAAGAATGATTACAACTTAAAAACAAAAATAAAATACAACATTAAAATAATGGAACATTAAAATATTAAAATGTAGCCTCATCGCAGGAGAAGGAAAAGAAAAAAGAAAGAGAGGGAGGGAGGGAATCAAATTGGCTCCAAGCCAAAGGCCAGGCAGAACAACTCTGTCTTACAGGCCCTGCGGAAAGAAATCAGGTCCTGCAGGGCCCTGGTCTCATGAGGCAGAGCGTTCCACCAGGTCGGAGCCAGAGTTGAAAAGGCCCTGGCTCTGGTTGAAGCCAATCTAACTTCCTTAGGGCAGGCATTGAAAAGAGAGCAGTGAAGGCACCTACTTGATGTCACTGGGCCATGACTGCTGACTTAATTAATTCACTACCTGCAGCTTCGCCTCTCTCCTATCCCAGTCTCACTCCTTCTCAATCCCAACAACCATTTTACCAAAACTTTCCCATGTGTTTATTTGTTACATGTGTGTGTGTTGCTGCCTTTTTCTACAATTTCCAAAAGCATGCATTAGGGGTTCGCAGCTGGTCAGTTCCCCTGGCACTGACCAGACCCAGACCTGCTTAGCATCAGTAATGTTGCCGCCTCATGCGCCTCCAGATCATGCCCTGGATATGGCCTGGTAATTTCCTCATGTTGGGCTGTTCTTAAGGACACAGGCCGAAGACTAGGGGGAAATGTTGGCAATCCTAATCTGTACAGAGCTGGGTGCGCTACCTTTTAAAGCTTTCAAGTTATGAACAACCTTAAATTACTTCTCCTGTAAACCGCCCTGTGATTGTTGGATGAAGGGCAGTATATAAATTTAATAACTCATCATCATAATAAAATTATCTACTCATCCGAACTATCTTTTTGGCTTTCTTCCATGTAAAATCCTCCTCGCACAGCCTCTGTTCTGAGATATATTAAATCTATATCCAATTCTTTTCTGTCACACTCATCACATGATTTTTTGCCTCCCTTTTCTCCTCGTCCTGTTTGTTCTGCCCACTTCCTTTGTAAGATCCAACTCTTGAGTCCATCAGCAGCAGGCTTCCAATTAGCAAATACTTGCTACTGGGATGTGGCTGTTATTGCTGTCTTCACCAATTACAGATGTCAGAGGCTTCAATGGTCTCTGGGCACTTGAGGCACCGTGGAGATGCCATCCATGGCGGGGAGTTTTGAGTTTCCGGGCGCAAAAGAATGCAACCGCTTTCCCTCCCCTTCATCTTAACCCTCTGAGCTGGAGTCGCCATGATAATACAAGCAATTATAAAGCAATTACTCATAATGATGGCAAAATGCAGGCCTGAGGCTTGCAAAAAAATGAAAACGGGAGGATAAGATAGAGGGGATGTGAGCAAAGGATGCAGTGTTTGGGACTTTTTAGTTTAGAGAAAAGGTCAGCAAAAAGTGACAAGATAGAAGTTTATAAAATTATGCATGGCATGAAGAAAGTGGGTAGTGTGATAGGAGTTTTGAGGTCTTAGATATATGGTAATGTTCATAAGTGTACCAACCAAGCACATACATAGATCAGCACAGGAAGACCGACCTGGAACCATTTTGATTCCTAAACTGAGCAAATGTTTTCTCTGCAAGGTCAAAGTGGGAGACCTCCCCATTGTCTCTTTCCTCACAAATCCTGTCTTAAGGGCACATTTAAGATATGAATAGGGTTTGAGCCTGTGAGCTGGCCCAGGAACTAAGTATTTATCATTACAAAAGACTGGCCAGGCTCCCCAGGCAATCCAATCAAGTAACCTGCCAGACAGGAGATAAACAACAACAGAAGAAAAACAACATTCAAATTTCTGTTTTAGACCGCCTTTTCTGTGATGTGGGTATGATGTATCTGGGGGGTGGTCTTAGGTTACACCCCTTCTGTGATGTATGTATAATGTTTCTGGGGGTGGTCTTGATCTACAGGGTGGCAATTTCAAAAGTCTTTATAAGGCCTTGCGCGCCATTGTTCTGGGTTCCTCCTCCTCTCCTGCGGGTGAGGGGAGCACTCTGTTGCAACAGATCAATAAAGATCATGCTTACTAGCTGCTTTGCTTCTCAATATTCTCTGGTTGGCCTCTGTTATTTTCTCCTACCAATAGGGAACCTATGTAAGGACTCTATATGGGCTCTTGGATACCCCATAAGGGAAAAGGACAATTTTTGTTTACAACAGCTGTAGAATCTTAAAAAGTGCCCTTTCAAGTGAGTAACCCGTTCCGGTACTTCCGGGTTCGGCGTGGTGCGCAACCTGAAATCATGCAACCCGAAGCATCTGTAACCCGAGGTATGACACTGTAGGGAAGTTTTTTAAATGTTTAATGTTTTATTATTATTTTTATATGTTGGAAGCCACCCAAAGTGGCTGGGGCAAACCAGTAAGATGTGTGTGGGGTATAAAATAGTGAAATTATCATTATGGAATGGGACGTCCCTATTTTCATTGTAGAAATGTTGGAGGGTATGTGAGAATTGTTAGGAAACCCTTGCTCCCTTCACAGAGCTACAGTTCCCAGAATTCCCTGGGACGAGGGATCAACTGTTAAACCTCATAGAGCTAAATAGTAGCTCTATGAGGGGAACAGGGGGGTCTCTTAACAAATATCAGCGCCCTTAACAAACTGATTCTTTGGAGAAAGCCATGACTCTTCAACATGATATAATATTGCTCTGACAAGGAGCTCTTACAGTTTGTCTTGCGAGGAAGTAAATCCCTCCCCACTTGCCCCCACAAGAAGGAGTGCAGCTTCAGCAGTTTGTCTGCCTCCCTCCCCAGCCCCTCACAGACACTCACACCATTCCTCTGAATACACATCTGGGTGCCAGCATCTGCCTTCCCCCCCCCACCATCCCACCTCGGCCTGTCAGCAAATACTGCTTCCCCTTCTGCCCCCACCAAGGTGAAATCAAAGCCGCCTTCCAGACTCCCCTTGCCTCACCTCAAAGCGCTTGTCACACACAGGTGGCAAAACAAACTCTGCCCATGAACAAAGGTCCCTCTCATGTTCACAGGCTGGCGAGAGAGGCCAAGGCCTTTTCACAGCGGGTGAGGCCAGCCAGAGCACATTTAATCCAAAACTGGTTCGCTGGCCTGGGTCTAGCCAAGGCGTCTGATTCATGCTGCCGTAAAGGGTTTCTTAAGGGCTTGCCTCTTCTGGAGGGACGGGGCTTGCCGTTTAATATTTTT